AGGTCAATCTAAATTTTTTTTTTTTTAATACATCAGGTTTCTTTGAGTACAAATAAAATGATTTTTAGAGATGCACGTTTACCCTGTATTTAAACCGAAACTCTCGACATCCTGCAGAACACCACAAACTCTGGAAAAAATGAGTTTTCACAGGTCAGACACACGTAACACAGCTAATGCTGCCCAAATGAAACATGAGCAGAGAACACACATATTCCTAACTAATTTTGCATTTACATCTGCTCTCTATAAGGGCAATAACCGGGTGAGGGCAGCCCCCAGAGCGGGCAGCCCCCTGCCCCTGCGGTGCCCTGCTGGCTGCAGCCCTCAGGATGGGGACTGTCCCTTATCCTTGGGGTAAGACGCTCCAGCCCCGCACAATGAAGATAAAAATGAAAATAGGTTTCAGTTTATCATTGAGCTTCTTTATGCAGATGGAAAAAATCCAAATGAAGCCTGATTCCCAAGTTAAAGCCTCAGAAGTGTTATTTTTACAGGAATACATTGAAATGCATTTCTACTGAAAAATGTGATGAGACTGTTTATCCCAAAGTGATTTTTTTTTTTTTTTTGCTTCAGTATGCATACAGGTCCCCAGCACAGGTGACAAGAACAGGAATTATTTCTCCACCTTGCGGATTGCACCTCCTCTCTCCCATTTACGTGGCTACGACCTTGCAGCACAAACCCAGCCCCAAAGCCCAAGGGGGAGGGAAAATGCTCAAGGGTCTGGGCACAAGGAGAGAGAGCTGGGAACAGCTCAGGGAAGAGGAACAAGGACTTTATACCTTTAAATAGAAGCAGTGAATATACGAAATACTGGGTGTCCCTGCCCTGGATCTGCCTGTATCCCACCCTGTGTTCCCACACCCCTGCACCGTGAGCATCATGGGGACCACACAGCTGGGGAAGTTTTGGGGTTTGGTTTTTTCCTTGCTAATTGCAAAAACCAGCCCAGGAGGTGAGTTTTTGCTCAGAAAGGTGATCTCAAAGGATCAAACGCAGTCGGGAAGGTGAGATGTGCCATTAGGGTCCCAGCCAGAGGTGGGAGCGGGGGGGACAGGACAGGAATCCCCCTCCCATGGCCACCCCCAGCAGTGGGGTGGGTGCTGGTGGGCACTGGGGCTGCCCCACAGCACAGCACCCACTGCTCAACTCCCATTAAAAAAAAAAAAATGAATCCCTCCCAAGAGCGCCAGGCACACTTGGCATTTCAAACAGCGGCTGGGGATGATTCACAGCCTCAGCCAACGGGAGTGTTTGGGAAGAAAAAGGTACAAGAGAAAGATTTTTTTTTTTTTTAAACCATTACTTTTCCCCTTACCGAGTCCCTGCCTGTCTCGTGTCTATCCCCATTAGCTGCTGATAAAGATGTTCTCCCCGGCTCAGCTCCTGCCCCTGGCCCGGCATGTTGCTCCCTCGCCCTGGAAAGTGATTTCCCAGCTGGACACCCTCACCTTCTACGGAGGAATTTCTGCATGAAGCCAGGTTTGGCTCTGTTGCCAGCACACCCTGAGCCTAGCAAGGTGCCATTACTGCTGGGTTATTTGCCGACGCAAAATTCACTGCTCGGGGATGTCATTGCTGGCGGATGTGTCACCTCTGCAGGAGGAAGAAAAAAAAAACCCACAAAAAACCAGGGTTCCTGACTGCAAGCCAAAGCTTTGCCTCCTGCCAGCACCATTTATCCCCGGCTCGCTCCCGGCGAGGATGATGCCACGTGGAGACCTGGCACGTGGGGCTGGGCTGGCGCTCGAGCCACCGGCAGATGCTCAGCCCCACGATACCGGGGGGCAAACCCAACCCTTCGCCATCACCCCGGGCCAGCAGAGCTTCGGGGATGGGGTTCTCCTCCACGCTGGGTTTGCGAAAGCTTTTCCCCAGAGCAAAGCACCAAGGGGCAGCAGCTGCAGCCGTTTCTGCTCCCAAAATGTCAATTATTCTACCTGATGGTGAGCACAGGGTGTCCCGCCAGGGGCTGCAGGGACCACTCAGGTTGGAAGGTTTTTTCTGTGCTTTTGCACCTGGAATGGGATCTGGGGGTTGGGGGGGCCGGTGTCACCCCACTGCTCGTTTCCTCGGAGTCAGGGCTCATCGCCTTGTTGGAGGCTGTCTCAACATTTTCTAAAAACCAACAGGCAGTCTCAGAATTCGCTCTGAATTAACTACAGGAAAAACATGAGCTTATTTCCTCCCTGCATTTCAGAGTAATTAAAGGGGAGGCATTGCCTGAGCACCTCCTGCCATCCATTTCTGCCCCACTTCACTTTTTTTCTATTTTTCATCCAACAGAGTGAATGAAGCACGCTCTCACCTTGCTGAGGTTTGGGAAGGTTTTAAGGAAGATTGCTGAGCCTTCAGAAACTTTAGCAAACCTTAAATTAGATTTTCATGCTGCAGAGAGTTTAGGGAAACACATCTACCTTTTAGGGAACCGCGAAAGAGAAGTGATTTAGGGAAAAAAAAAATCAAATCACACAAGGCAGCATCTGCAGCCGACACCGGACAGATCTGCGGCAGGAGGGAGGACAAGCAGAAGAAATACTTGCACATCCCTGAGAAGCTGGAAACTGGATCCCAGGCTTCCCAGTTCTCCCCTCCCCAGTTCCTGTTCACCCCAGGGGCTGCAGGGCTCCCTGTGCCTGGACCAGGCGGGATGCCGGGCTCCAGACCGATGCCCGGAGGCTCTCCCCAGCCCTGCCCTTGCCCAGAGCGCCGCAGCAGCCGCCTGCTCCATCCTCACCCCTCTCATCCCGCACAGCTGCGCTCACAAAGGCTCGGTATATTTAGATGCTGCTGCAGTTCCACATGCTTGAAATTAGAGAAAAGCTCTGCATTTTTTTTTTTCCCCCTGCTGCTACTTCCTTCCCATCGCTTTTCTCCACCACAGCAGCATTAGCTCTTGGGGAACTCTAAGGATGATAAATAAAGTCTCCGCACCAGGTCAGAAGACAACTCCTTTCAAAGCCTGGGTCTATTTTAACCAGAAGAGCCCTTCTTGGCGGAATGGGACTTATTTATATGCCTTGTGATACAGGGTGACTTTCGCATCTCACTCTATTTTAAAAATCAAAGCATCTTGGAAAAAATGAGCTAGCCCCTTGGCACAAGCGGCACCAGCTGAGGACGGAGCAGGGAGGGGATGCCCGTCGTCACAGCAGGCATCCAACACAGGCAGGATCCAGCTCCTTGCTCACTCCTGCCTTCACCCATTTGCCCCAAAGGCAGCAGCACGGGACCCAGCGCTTTCCTAAAGCCACCTCAGTGCCTCCACCTCCCCGTGGAGGGTGCAGGCTGAGCATCCATCCCTGGGGGTCCCTGTGCATCCCCGGGGGCTCCACGCTCCTGGTGCCCCAGCATCACACTGCGGGAAAAACAGCCTCCTGCTTTCCACTGCCTTGGGGTTTATATACACACACACACACATATATATATATATATGCACTTTTAAGCATTCTTCAAGTGCTCAGTTCAATTGCCATCACAGAAATGACTCTCATGAGGAAAGCCCTCGGGCTCTGGCCAGTCCATCGCCCAGCTCCTGCCCAGCGGCAGCGGCACATCGCAGCCAGCAGGAACCGCAGCATCACTGCAGGGCCAGCGCATCTGTGCCGCAGTGCTTATGGATGCCCTTTTTGATAAAATATTGAGAAGATAAAATATTGATAAGATATTCTTTAGTTTTTCAAATCAGCATGGAACAGAAATAACAAGGTACACACACCGGATAAAAACAAATAACGATCTGCCCACAGCCCAGGCAGATTGCCATCTGCAAGACTGGACACTTAAAGCTCTTGGGGGCATTCACAGACATCTCTGCGGGCTGTCCCTAGCGGGGATCAGGCTGTGTTAGAGGGATTTTATACCATAAACCCTCACAGGGTCCCACCTGGGCGCTATGGGTGGAAAGCATCGCCCCATGCCGTGGGCAGGAGCCTCCACCGATGCCCACAGCTGCTGTTAACACACAGAAGGGCTTCTACCAGGAGCCATCGGCCAGGCTGAGCTGGGTTTGGAAAACACTTTTCTGTCCCCAGCACCAGCCCCCACCGAGGTTACTCACCCAGCCCCAGGCACGACACCCTCAGTCCAGATTTCCCCAGGTTCCTAGAAAGAAAAGAAAATAATGAGAACATATTGATACGCCCTCAAGGGACACAGCTTCGATAACCCTGTGGGGAGCCAGCAGCCAGAGGAGTCCCCGTTTTCTCCAAACTCCCCGTTCCCCCCCACAATGGGCAGACCCCCCTCAGCAGGATGCCGGCTGCCCAGTTTGGAGAAGGGGGGATGCACCACGCTCATCCTTTCCCTCTCTAGGCTTTGGAAGAAGCTCTGAGCACTGATGGGGTGGGAATAAACCCGAACACATTCAGATGTCTCTCACATCGATGCTGTTTGGGGTCCCACGAATAAAGGACACACATTCCCATCATCACTGGCGTGCATTGTCATAACTCTGATTAGAGTATTTGCCTTATTCACCTTCACAATTTTTTAAAAATTTTATTTTTTCACTTTCCAACTCATCAAAACATCCTGCAGCAGACCCCTGGTCCGGGTACCACTGGGGCTAGAACCTTGTGGATTCCCCCAAACAAACCCCCCTGACCAGCCCCGGGGGGGCAGCGGCTCAATCCCCATAACCCAGATGAAGTTATCACCCTTCCCCGCCCCATCCCGGTGCCAGCCTGGAGACAGGATAATTATCCAGGAGGCCACGAGATGTGCCGTACATGAAACCCCTGCCCTAACGCAAACCTATCGCTGCAGTACAAACCACCCTTTACTTACACCCTCCCGCATACCCTTCCCATCACAGCTGGAGCTGTGCAGTTTTTTTGCCAGATCAAGGTATAATTTGGGGACCATCCATCTCCCACCCTCTGCAGAGCGCTGCGAACAATCCCTGCACTTCTCATGAATTATTGAGAGGCAAATAAAAGCTCCCTGCTTGCGGTGAAAGGGGTCGGACAGAGCACCCGACATCAGCACGGGTCGCGCCCTGCTCCTGCAGCATTTTCTCTTTTCACACGCTCGATCTCGTGGCCATTGCAGGTGGCTGCTCATCCGGCACAATTCCCTGTGCGGGTGAGCGACCAAAGGCATCCCGGGGAAGGCAGGGGAGCGCCCGTGCCCACCTCCCACCCCTCCCCAGGGCCCCCACACCCAAAATCTACTCCTGCTGAGGGGAATTTAGAATTTGGGGAGAGGCAGGAACCTGCCCTCGAGTAGCTATTTGACATGCCAGAGATGCTGGGCTCTCGACACCACTGGGGCAGGCACTGACCTGATTTTTTTTTCCTTTTCTATTTTTCTTTTTTTCCCTCCTTTTTTATTATTTCTTTGAGTGAAAGCACAGCCAGACCCCTGCATAACAAACCCCATCCCTGCACAGAACAGCACAAACGCCTCCAGCACAAAGCACAACCCTCCAAACCTTCAAAGGCGAACACCCAGCAGCCGCCGGCGTGCTGCAGAGCTGCAAGGCTTCGGGCAGGAAAGAGGAGCCCGGGCTCCCGGCATTGGGATCTCACATTCCTTCTGGAGCCTGCCCACAGTCGAGTGCTCCTGTGAGTTTCCAAACAGTTTGTTTATTTTATACAAGCCCTTTTTAAATTTTTTTTTTTTAAGGTCCTACTTCTCACCAAGCTATTTTTTGCCCTTCAAAGTCCAGCTCTGGCTCTGTGCAGGCACACGGCTGCAGGGGCACAGCTTGGCCGTGGAGCTGTGCCCCTCTCCTTGCCTGGATCTAAATGTATATATGATATACATACCCTGTACATATACCCCTTTGTATAGATACACATATATAAACACACACATCCAGGGCGAGCGAAACCCTGCAGTGTGCACACACTGAGGGGTACAGCCCTCCCCTGCAGCGGGGTCTGTCTCGGGGTCTCAGCCCCAGCTGTCCCCATCCCCCAAAGCCACATCAGGGCTCATCCCCCTGCCGCCAGGGGTTTGGGGTGTAAAGCGCGCACACGGGCTGTGCTGCGGAGAGCGACCCCCAGCCCTGCAGAGTCTGGTCCACTAACAAATCCGGACAGAAATACTGTGCTTGGATTTCCAAAGCTGTCTGTGCCATTGACCCAGCACACGTCACCTGGGGGCTTGGGAAGTTTTATGTCTGTAGTAAAGAGCCGATGCTGGAAATGCCACAGCTTTGCAGCGCAAGATCCTTCTTGCAAAATGAGCACGGGAGGATCTCAGGAGGAGTTTGCCAGAGCCTGCGGAGCATCGGCAGGTCCCAGCCCCAGCTACTCTCCCGTTTCCAGCCCCCCTCGCCTGCAAGTGCCTCGTTCAGCCGCACGCTCCAATAACGGGTGGCAGCAGGAAAGCCAAGCAGCCACACCAACACGTGGAAACACAGAACCGCTGGAAACTCATCCCACTCAGGGCTCTCATCCCCCAGCACAGACCTTGTGCTGTGTAAAAGCACACGGCCACTGAGCTGATCACAGGCCCTAGGGCAGGGTGGGAATTTGAAATAGCAACAGCTCCTGAGACCTGGTCCTCCTCTACCCCTCCCCAGAAAAAAAAACAGAGTAAAAACACATGTATGCATTTGCATCTATTTTGCAGCTTCCAGGTGTATGTGTGTGCAGAGATACATTATACACACACAGACACACATGCCCACAAGCTGCAAAATCGCCGAGTTAAATCAATGTTTGGTTTCCAAGTAACCGGACAGTAAAAGCCCATTTTGGCTCCATTGCACTAATTCCCAATCTGAGCTAATTAACCAGCTCAGTCCCCAGCACAGAACCAGCAGCAGCCTGGGCAGACCACCGAGGATGGCTGCATGGGGAGCCGGCAGGAGCAGGGACCGGGACGGCAGGATGCTGCAGCACCCAGCCAGGGCTGCACAGAGACCACTGCCCCACAGCCCACCTCCGTCCTGCTCACAGCTGGTCGCTGCCGTTAGACCACAGACAGGTCCTGCACAGGCTGCTCCATCTCAGCCCCGGAGCCCACAGCCCAGCACCCCTCCCATGTACCCAGCCCCGCTGCCGCTCCTGGGGGTTCCCGCTGATGCTACTTAATCACTCTTTCAGGAGGGGGAAAATAAAAAGCTCTTTTCAAATTGGAAGTCAGTGCTGTTGAGGGATGAGGATGCTGCAGGAGCCTCCGGTCTCTCAGGATCACTTTGCCCAACCTAGAAGCAGCTGATTAGAAATTGGCTCTTACACATGGATTGTTTTTTTCTTTTTTTATTTTTCATTAGCACGGCTATCTTACTTCTGCTCTTGCTGATATCCAGCACCCCTTGCACTTTGCAGAACTGGAGCAATTGCACCACTTCCAAGTCACTGCCCGACCCCGAGCAGCTCCCAGAGTTGTACCCGTGGCTGTACCGGCTGCTGCTCGGCATGACCCGACCCAGACCCATCCCTCTGGCCATGGCACCTTCCAGACTGCTTCAAGTTGCCAATCTGAGACCAGCTTCGTTTGCTTTGCCCCAAACTTACACCACAAGCAAGACCCAAAGTTATCCAACACCTCAACCCTGAATTCTTCTCAAACCAACTTTCTGCCCTTTGTAGCCCTAAGAAAGATGTATTTTCAATGTAATTTTAAAGCTTTCCCATTTCCTTTTCCAGGGAGCAGGTATTGCCCTGTCCTGGTGCCTGGGACAGAAGAGGGCAGGGGACAGCCAAGGCACGCAGACCCCAGCCTGGCACTCTGGTGTAACGTGCCTCATCTTTCCTGGTGTAAGCCACCGGTGACATTTTCCCAGCCCGCGCAGCTGGGAGCTGGAGCGAACACAACCCTCCCCGCAGCACCGGCGGCTTCGCCAGATTGCGCTGGGTTAACGAGCGCGGGAGATGAACGCCTGATTCATTGCAAACACAGCTTGCAGCTCCGGGATGTTGTTAAAAATACACCGAGGTACCAAAACAGCGTGCGGAGAGGGATGACATCTCCCTTGACTAGGCTTTTCCAAGCGGAGGGCACATCCATCTCCTGCAGCCGTGCGGGTTCCCGGCCGTGGTTAAAGGCAGCGATGTGGGGAGCGCTGCGCTGGGATACTGGCAGCAGCACCCCCGGCACCACCCGCGTCCACAGCACCCCCCGCGAGCAGCTGCTGCTGCTAAACTTCACGCAAAACCCCAGGCAGCACGTGCTAACAGTCCCAGGGGGGGAAAGGCTGGGAAGAGGCGTCAGCCCAGCGCCCGCAGGGGCTGGGAGCCTGCAGCCAGGGGGGAAGGATACTTTCCCCCCCAGTAAGGAGCAACCCCAGCAGCAGGACCTGAACAGACAGCACAGCCACAGGGCTGGTTACCCATCCCTCTGCCACTTGGAAGGTATTTTTTCCTTGCTGAAGACCAAGTTCTCTTTTTCTCTTGCTGGTGGGGAGTTGCACATTCACTGCACCTGCTCCTTCATCACCCTCGGGCTCAGAGCTGGTCCCCAGCACTGCAGGGATTTTTCCCGGGATGAGCTCAGGCTTTTTCCATGCAGCATTGCCCAGCAGCCTCGCAGGCAGTGCTGCAGCTGAGCAGGGTGAAGGGGGTATTCCAGCTGCACAGAGCCTGGAAAAAAATCTCTGCTTAGCTGCTCGAGCCTCTTCCCAGCCCACAGCACAGAGCAGCACCTCTGCCTGGGCAGCATTCAGCAGGTCCCCAGGACCTGAGGGCACGAAGCACTCTCAGATTCACTCCTGTGACTAATTCCCATCTCCCGTGTTTCCAGCAGACACACAGCCCCTGATCGGTGGCTCCAGCCCTGGCCGGAGGCTGGGGACCTCCCCCCATCCCACCCAGCTGCTCATTTATTACCAGAGAGAAAAACCACAGCCACCCCCCACCACACAGCTTGGGTTTTAAACATGGAAATAAAATATATTCAGAACAGATACATTGGTTCTGGACCCAGCTGTGCTGCTGCATAAGCCCGAGTTAATTATTGGGCTAGAAAGAAGTGGCTAAACGAGAGGGATGCTCAGGGGCTGTGAGCAGAGTCTGGGGCAAACCAGGCAAACACTAGAGATGTGTGGGACCCAAACGGGCAAGAGGAGCTTATCGCCCATCTGGGGAGCCAGCACTCGACATTCACAAGAAAGCCCAAGGCAGCAGCTCTGGGTTTCAGGAGCTCTTTGG